CCCCAAAACCCCAAAACCCCAAAACCCCAAAACCCCTATATATTTAGATTTGATTGATCACTAATTAAATTATGAATACAAACTACTCCAACAACATGCAAGGTAATTCATTCGAATTGACATTAAGACCAATTTTTCTCTAACTCAAACTTAATTTCAAGCCATGAGGTTTTGGACATCTCGAACCATTCGTCTAGATTAAAAACTCACCCTGATGTAACTATCATCAATGGGGAGTGCCAAGATGGCTTGACACTTGCTTTCAAGTCACCTAAAAACTTCGCAATTGGAGCCTTTTGGCTTGGAGTATGTATCCTAAGCTCTGCAACAGTGGGGCCAATTGTGCTGACAGTTCCGACTAAGAGTATCTATATCTCGATTTCATGGAGATCTCAGTGCTCTTGTCTGCTCATGGCTGTGTGGTCCATCATCAACTACATCAGATACAGTCGCCAGAGTTGTTACCAAATAGATGAATCCATTGATTATCAAAGACTCACTACATGGTAAGAGTTTTAGGAATTTTGTTAAATTCTTACTTCCTCTTTCTAGGCAAAAAATCAGAAAAGATTCTTCACCTAGAAACTTGGTTAGCACTTCCTTGATGTCATTTTTCATGTTCATGTGGGTGTTTGGCCTCGTTATTGGGTGCAAGTACACACTAACAGCTCACGCTGATGTGCTCTATTGCAGCAGCGGAGTGTTCATACTATTGATCTCAATTCTTACATGCCGTTACGTCAATAAATTTGAGGTGATAGGATACATAGTCTATGGTGTCGGAGTAGCCATTATGCTAAGCGACCCATTGGCTACAAAAGCTGAAGGAACTACAAATAAGTTACTTGGTAATTTGTTCGCGTTCAGTGGTGCATTTGGAGGAGCCTTGTATGGCATCATTTCCACTAAATTGAAAAGAGACAGCTCACAGGAGGTATGCCTGTTCTATCTCTTCTTGGGTCAAGTTATTATTCAGGTAATCATATTTTCTCATGCTGAAGAAAACCCCTTGTTTTTCAGTATGGATTCAGAATATGGAATCTTCGGTTGGCTTTCGGATCCATGGCTGATAATTATAATGTGTGGGTTTGTGGCACCGTGGACAAGCATCTTGACGAATTACTCACTGCTTGAATCATACAAGTATTGGACCTTGGATATTGTGGCTGTCTTCTTTTTAATGGAACCTTACTTTGCTGAAATCTCAGCAATCTTTCTGAGTCAAGACAAGATTCCTGGACTTCAAACATTCATAGGGGTTGGCATACTTAGTTTAGGAATTATTTGATCAATTCACGGATCTAAAACAAAGGCAAAGGAAGCCATTAATGATGCAAGCAAAAATTACCAAGAAGATCATATTGAGCTTTCTATTGACTCTTTTGACGAATATAACCTCTAATTTCTTCGACAAATCTTGTAAGAATATTTTTGAATTCGCAGATATCTTTAAAATGAAATCAGTATCTTAGTATACCACTCTTTAGCATTTATGACGCAATTACATGATTTTTAGAATATTTTTAGGTCAATTTTCTTCTTCCCTCTAGGGGTTTTGGGGTTTTGGGGTTTTGGGGTTTTGGGGTTTTGGGGTTTTGGGGTTTTGGGG